ATATTATTCAAATTTTTCATAGATAGATAGAAATTGGCGAACTTTCAGTAATTTGCTTGGCATCTCTAATATGTAACATATTGTAAATCTAGAGAACTATTGCAGTTAGAATCTTCAAAATCGTTAAGTGGGTTTTTTATTTATACTGCTTTTAGGGTAGCAAAGCACACTGGGTAAAGCTAGTAATGTATAAAATTTCAATTGTTAATGGTGCAGTGTGAACATTTAGTTCATAAGTTCACAAGATTTAAATCTTGTTTGAAATCAATAACATATCGATCACAATCACGTTATTTTTCCTTAAAGAAGTTCACATTTAAATGAATTCTTCACACAGCATTCATACTGTGTTATTAAATAATTAACCTCCATAAAAAAAAAAAACTAAAAATTAATCGCAGTTAAAGCGGTCAGCCAGCAGTTTTTAAGAAAAAACTCTTGTCGTACATCTGTTAGCAAAAGTCAAAAAAGACATGCGAGTATTATTTTGCATACACAACACACATGTTGAAAAATATTATTTTACAACAACATTTCGCATAAATTTTGCGGTTAATTGGTTAATGATTTAAGTAACTAAATAGTTAAATTTACAATTACAATACAAAATACTAATAAAACTCATAATAATAATGATTACAATTATAATAAAAACACTAATAAAAATAATGATGTATTGATGATGTTTGACGTTTGTGATTTTAGTTCGTGTCTTTGATTGCTAATATTATTTACCGCCACCACAATTCTATTGTTAAAAAAAAACAACAAAAAAAAACTAAAATCTATATAATAGGACATAAGTGTATTGTTAATTTTAATGAATTATTATATACAAACAGACACACATACAATATTTAAATAACAAAGTTTAAATAATTATCTGCCCTAAAGTTAAACAAAAACTTTAAATTGCATTTCAATACAAACGTAATTTAATACTTTGTAAATCAACAAAAATTAAATGATTCAGAAAAGGGTTCAATAGTTGAGGTTTTAATATACGTAAAGCATATCAAATTTCTATCGGCCAACAGGTTAGAATTTGTTCTACTTAATTTCCCCTTACTTTATAATTAAGACAAATCAAAGATATTAAATTTAAACTTCATTTACGATATCAAAATAGTGTAAAATATAGAAAAAATTATATCTTTAAAATGAAAAGCTCTCATTCATATAATGTTTTTATTATTATTTAAGGCTTACGATTTTTTTCTTCTTGTCCAGTAAGGTCACATACTATAAACTTAAAAACATACATACATATGTACATGTATGTGTACCTTAACATTTAATAGTTTAATAAGGTAGTTTAATATACATAAAAATGTATGTTTTTTTATAAACAAAACCGAGGAAAAAAACTACTAACTAAAAGCTACCGATTCATTTTATATCTTGTAGATATGTATCTTCTAATGCGTTTAGATAACAATCCACATTAAATAGTTTGTTAGTTTTCATAGCTGTTGTTGATATGTTTAAGTGCGATTATAATTCCATCCATAAAATATATAATAGGTCACCTTTTTATAAATTAACAATCGACCTCCATGGTCAAAACTAATTATGTAGACACTTAAAACTAAAATACAGCCACTAAAGACCCAACGATCTCTTATCATACTTATAGACAGACATTCATCATCACAAGTATTTTTGTTGCGTACCTACAACGTCTCCATATAGATATAGTTGATCTCATAATTTATAGCATGCAATCAAAACAATACTGATGAAGTGTTGTTTTTAATCGATATGGATACTTTAATTTTAAGATACCCATACTAGATACATAACTAAGTAAACAAATAAATAAATAATTAAATAAATACAGTGTATGTTTTGTTTATCAACATTTTGCGTCCACAGGAATAAGTACTTCGTACTTGCTAATTGTTTGTGGTTTATGTTTGTTTTTATTTTCACTTTTATCTCTTCACTATTTAAGATTCCAATGTGTTTTATGTATTTTTTTTTTGTTTAAATTTTAAATTATAAATTCTATTAAAATTCCAAACACAATCAATGTGGCTCAACAGTTATGTCATTCAATCCACCAAAGAATATTACAATTAATCGAATCAATGAACTTCATTTGTAAAGTCAAATGTGCGTTATTTGTTTTGTTTGTATGTATGTATGTATGTATTTTTAATTATTCAACAAGTGTTTTTTGCAAAAATATGTTTTTACCAACACACATTTGTTTATTTATATTATTGGATTTGATCAGTTAAACAAAATTGTATTGAAGTATTTAATTACAAATTCCTTGAAATATATATGCATTTCTATTCGTTTAAAATTAAGACAGTTTTGCTAAGCCAAATATTTCCATTTTCCCAATAGTCTTATTCACAACTTTTAGAACATTGAAAAATGTGTCCAAATATTAAACAATATTGAAAACTTTTCATCAAAATTGTTCATTAATTTGGCTCAGAAACACTTTTAATTTGATAAAATCCTTAGTATGAGATCATTAATAACAAGATCAGTGATTTTGTTTAAAGTTAAGGAATTTTATAGGAAGTGAAAAATAGTTATAAGCCGACAAAAGAGTCGAACATAGTGAATTTACTTTTTTATATCTACCCCCACAAAATACATATTCTAGGTCCTAATCTAATAAAGATTCTCATACGATCTAGCCATGTTCGTCTTCCCGTCCATCTGTGTGTTGAAAATACGATAGGACTTCAACGGGAACTGCTAGATAGCTAAATTATTTTCTAACTATGCAGCCTGATTGGTATTTGATCCTAGCCCCCATATGTCTGTTGAAAACACGATAGGGTTTAAACGGAATCTGCTAGAGAGCTAAATTATTTTCCTTTAATATAGTTTGCTTGATATTGAAAATGTTCAAAATTGATCCACATTTGATCCTAGCCCCCATATAAGGTCCCGTTCTGTCTTAAATATGCAAGTGGAGTAATGAAAATTTACTTAAAAAAGTCTTTTTATAAACCAAAATCTACAAAATTGTATAAGGGTCGGCCCATAATTGACCCTGTCTTCTTTCATATAACCTCCTAATTCTACAAAATGTGTTAATATTAGAAATTAATCACTCACGAATTCTGAAGAGTTTGGTCTATAATTCCCCCAAGTCCATGTGAAAGGCATATTCGAATATACGACTCTTTGAAAATAAGACCTAGATTCCCTCACACTTTATCCGAGTCATCACAGCTGAAAAATTTAGAATAGTATACATTGGTTTTAGAGTTAAAAGTTTGATGGCTAGTGTCATTCATGACATAACAAGAGACACATTAACAATTAAGAAGTTGGTAGAAATTGTCTGTTTGCTTTGCGCTACGGGTCGCAATTTTCAAAATAATTGCTTAAAATCGGTACATTATTACGCCTAGTCACCATAAAACCGTAATCCCAGTATAGGGCTTTTGTGCTCATAATTATGTTAAATTGGTAAAACTTTATTATACCCTACACCACTTTAGTGGGGAGGGTATATTGGGTTTGTGCTGATGTTTGTAAAGCACAATAATATTGGTCCTATCCATTGGTCGTCCATTTTCTGAGACGATTTAGCTATGTCCGTCCGCCCATGTAAACCTTGTAATCAAACTACAGGTCGCAATTTTGAAGATAATTCAATGAAATTTGGTACATGATCTTCTATTGTCACAGGGACAGCCTATTGAAAATGGTTAAGATCGGTCCATTATTTCACCTAGCCACCATACAACTGAATCCCCGAATAGGGCTTGTAAACCTTGTAATCAAACTACAGGTCGCAATTTTGAAGATAATTCAGTAAACGATTTTCTATGGTATGGGTGATGAAGCCTATTGAAAATGGTTAACATCGGTCCATTATTTCACCTAGCCCCCATACAACTGAATCCCCGAATAGGGCTTGTAAACCTTGTAATCAAACTACAGGTCGCAATTTTGAAGATAATTCAATGGCACATGATCTTCTATGGTACCGGAGACGAAGCCTATTGAAAATGGTTAACATTGGTCCATTATTTCACCTAGATCCCATACAACTGAAACCGCCGAATAAGGCTCTTAAGTTTATAATTATGTTTAATATACTCGTATCTCGACAAAAAACTGTAAAACCAAGTTCTATACTAGCCTTGATTGACCATAGCCCCTATACAAAGTCTCCTTCAAAATTTGAGTTAAATGTCCACAATTTTATTCAACAATAAATGGCTTAAGTATATCTGATGTAGGGTACAATTTAACTTAAATGCTTTATTATGAAAACTAAATCACATTTTAAATTTGTAACAGGTGTTTTTACTTGTTTATATAAGTCGTAATAATCGGGACTCATTTGACCCTAGGCCCCATACAAAGTTCCTTTCAGAGAATGAAGGTCAAAGTTCACTTATAATACAATGCTTAAAAAACTTTAATGTAAACGTAAATCCCTCCACCAAAATTTACAAGGATAGGCCCATATTTAACCTTGCATTTTGAAAAATCTCTTCTTTGTCGAAAAATTGTTAAAATATTTTTCAATTAAGGTAAAAAACAAATTAAATGCTTTATTATTAAAAAAATAATCAACATTTTTAACATACTCAATATTGTAGGGTATCATATGGACGGCCATAGCCGACAATACATTCTTACGTGTTTTAACTTTATAATTTTTAAGTGCAGTAGATTTTAACCAAATTTATTTTTTATTAAAAAATATGTATTGAAAAAGTTCTTATTATTTCCTCAATTAATAATAATTTGTTTAAAATTAAATTCTTCACGAATGGGTTAAGGAAATATAATCACAAAAAAATTAGCATCACTCTTAATAATTTAAAAATTTCAATTAAATATAATTCCTTTAAAAAACTCTCGATTATATACAAATATTTGTACGTACAAACAAATAAATGCAAAAGTTATTTAAATTAATAGAAAAAAAGATTAAAATGTTAAAACATGAAAAAGTCGTGAGCAAAGAAAATAGTTTATGGTAAACAAGATTTCATTTAATAATGGCTCACCTGAAAAACAAAGGCAAACATTTGAAGTGTTGGAGGAATTTGAAATAAGCTTAATATCAATGTCCAAATAAAATTCCATTTGCCATAGTGGCCAATATAGTTGGAAATAATATCACTGTCCACATCGTCACTGAGACATTTTCTTTTATGGATATTTTCTACTGTTTGCTCATTATTGATCACTTTGAAAGAGTCCTTTTTAAGATCGTCAGAATGTCGGCGAAAATCTAACGATACAACACTTATTTCAGGTGTACGTGATCCTTTGGCATCGCGATAACCACCGTATAGATTTGATTCGACACTACCACGTTTCGAATACGAGTCCAAATCGAAATTTAAGGACCCTCTTCGTAAAACACCACTCATTTTTGAGTTTTATTTTTATTAATTATCTATGAATATTTGTTTAATAAATATTTACTATATGCAAATATTTACTTTATCTTTTTATAGTTATTTTTGTCTATAAATATATATTTTATTGTAATGTTTACTGCTAAAAGGCTTTTGACGATCTAATTTTGATAACGGTTCGCTTGGTAGTTTTAAACCGAACAGAAATAAACGTAGATTGCTTTTGTGAGGCAAAGAAAATAAAATCAAACTTGAAAAATAACCAAAACGTTTGAATATCAACAAAACAAATTAAACAAAAAAATGAAAAAAAAAAGTTAACAACACTAGATCTACAAGTATTTAATTAATAGTTCAGACAAGTTGGTTATTATGAGCGACCGTTAATTTGAAATTTATTAACAAAATAACTTGAAAATAAAAACAAAATACACATGAAATCTTAAGCTTTTAAAAAAGCTTTTTTTAACACTAAACATACCATTATATTAAACACTCACCTGTCTTGTGTTTGCAAATAAATAAATATTGAAAGTTTGTTTGTTTGTTTTTTGTTTGTTTATTTATTTATCATTACAATTGTTTATTAATAATATCAATTAATTTTTCTTTTAGATACGCATTTTAGGTTAAAATTATTTATTTATTTTCTTATTTTTTTTTGTTTGTTTATCATCATTTGGTCAATGATGGTCTGTATCAATTTATTGTTGTTATTTTTTTTTTTATTAAAAATTTTAAATGCTTAAACATTTTTTTTCCAACTACACAATATTTAAAAACTTTTCTAAAGTTTGTTGAAAAAACATAACAAAAATATTATTTTTATTAACTTTAAATGATCATAATTATTATTTATTATTAATAAATATAAGTATAAATATAAAAAGGCTTACATTGTAAGTACAAATTACATTAGGAAACTATTACAAAAAAAATATAAGAGAAGGAAATACATATTTATTAATTTATTTTTTAATTTTATTGTTTGTTTTTTTTTTTTGTGTGTATTAAGGAATAAAGAAAATAAGTACATCTTCGTTAATAATTTATTAACCACATAACTTACATTTACATACATAGATACAACTAATTTAACACATATACAAACATACATTTAATCACTTATACATATGTATATAAATATGTATAAGTGTTTGTTAGTATGTTTAATATAGACCACTTTTTTATTGGAAAAAATTCTGATACAAAAAATAGGTGTACTTGGAACATTATGTAACTTAATACTGTCAAAATTTGGTGAAGATCTGCCGATCCTTTCAGTTAGAAAAACATACATACTATCCACATATAGACAATTTTAACTTTAAGAACTTCTCCTGAGAGAACTGAGTTCTTTAACTGAACTGACTTTAACTTATACAATGTGGAAATATGGTTCAAATCTGTTGAACCGTTCAAAAGCTAAAATATATATGATATAGAAATACAAATTTTTTCTCGTTTTTAACTTTGAGAGCTTAAAACTCACATGACCTCGAAATGCTAGTTCACTCGTAGGTCTTGTGGTCCATTTAAATTGCCATTCCCTTATGTTGAGAGAATGGTTTCCCTCCCTAATCTCGTTGACTACTTGGTTCTTGCAGTCTCCGTGTAAACCAGCTGGTGTTTCTAATAAAACCGACAATCACAGTCCAGATCATGCAAAAAAAGAGCTCTAACAAGATAGAGTAGTCTGTGCTCTTGTAAGGCTGGTTTAGTTTAAAGGTATAGATATGTACTATATATCTTTAGAAAGCTTTTACGAATCAAGGCTTTCCGTAATTTATATGGAAGACTTTTGCTAAATAAAGAAGATTTTAAAATAATTCCGTTTTTGTATAGTAAAATTTAACGTACAAAGTTGGATTAAAACATTTAAGAAATTTTAAAATTCTTTTAAAATTATTCATTCAACTCTTGTCAAATTTGACAGCAGTAAGGTTAATTTTGAAAACCATGAGTTTAAATTTAAAACCGTTTTTAAGCTTCAAGTATAATTTCAACTTAATTTTCAGAAGATAATAATTGCAGTAATTTTTATTTTTGACGTAAGGTGGTCTAATATTTTTGTTTATTTTTAACATTTATTTCTTTTTTTTTTTTCTTATTAGTTAAGTTTAACAATTATAATTATACAGTTATTTATGTATTTGTTTAGTTTTTTTTTTATAATTCATTAATTTTGAAAATTATTTTTGTTTTGGTTTAAATTTTTTTCGAATTTTGATAAATGCACAATTAACAATGAATTTAATTAACTTGGGTTTTCTATGTAATTGATTTGTTTTTTCTTTAATTTAGAGTTGGTTTTTTTTTTAGGAAAAATTGATTTTTTTAATTGACAAATGATCTTTATATATTTTTAATTTTATATATATATATATATATATATATATATATATATATATATATATATATATTTTTTTTTTTTTTCACTTATTATACATATTTATGTTAGTGTAAAGTTAAATAATTGTTAAGTAATTGACTACTTGCTAAAAATACATACATTTATTTATTTATTTTTCATAATTTTTATTTGTTTAATTTTTTAAAGAAAAATATACAATTTTTACTTGATTTCTCATACTAACATACTACAATGGTTTGTCTGTCCGTCCATACATACATACAATATGGCATGTCATGTTACCGATTGAAGGCTTACAGTCAAAATTATTGCAAAACATGTTTGCAAATGGTATATTTTTGAAATAAATTTACCCTAAAATATCAAACAAATTGTTTGTTTAAATAGTGTAAAAAGTTTATTTCTTTCTCCCCAGAGTGATTATGAAAAGTTTTAACATTTTACTTGATTTATTTTTGCAACCGGAAGTAAATTTGCTTTTTCTCTAACAAAAATAAATAACTACAGTTTATATTTAGTTTATAAAACTTAATTAGGAGAATTTAATTTAATTAAAATTTTTCACTTTACTGAGAATTTTATAAATTTTATTTAATTTGAATAACTATAAGACAAGTAAATAGCAGCTTTTAGGCAAATCTGTAGTTCTTTAAATACTTTTTAATTTCCTTAGAGGAAAGGAAATTGACACAAAACTTCTGTCGTGACTGGCTTTATGGTATTATGCACCTCTTCTAGTTTCAATATTCTATATATAAAGGCCATCTGGTACTTAACCATGATAATATTAATGGTGGGGTTCAATTGACACCTTTTAGGTTTCTGAATTAATTTATTATACCCTACACCACTTTAGTGGGGAGGGTATATTGGATTTGTGCTGATGTTTGTAACATACAAAAATATTCGTCCTAGACCCACCTTAAAGTATACCAATCGGCTTAGAATCGTTTTCTGAGTCGATTAAGCTATGTCCGTTCGTCCGTCCGTCCGTCCGTCCGTCCGTCTGGCTGGCTGTCTATGTAAACCTTGTGCGCAAGGTACAGGTCGCAATTTTCAAGATAATTGGATGAAATTTAGCACGCACGTTTTATTTGACCCAAGGACGAAGAAAATGGTTAAAATCGGTCCATTATTTCACTTAGCCCCCATAGAACAGAACCCCCGAAAAGGGCTTCTGAGCTCATAATTATGTTAAATATACAGATATATCGATAAAATACGGCACAACTAAGTTAGAAGTCTTGATGACCCTGCCAAATTTCATAAAGATCGGGTCACATCTGACCCTAGCTCGCATACAAAGTCCCCTACAGAAAATTACTTGAATGTCCCAAATTAGCTTATAAACACAAATATCGCGATGAAATTCAGCACAATAAAATATTATGTAAATATAAATATATTCACAAAATTTTAACGGGCTTGGTCCATATTTTCCCTAGCCCCCATATAAAGCCTCTTTCAGAAAATTAGTTTTTCATCCATAAATTGCTTAAATGTATCGGAACAAGGGAATATTGAAGATAAATGCTTTATTATGAAAAATAAATCACATTTAATATTCATAACTGGTGTAGGGTATCATATGGTCGGCCACGCCCGACTATACTTTCTTACTTGTTTTTTTCTTTAAAATTCATCTCAAAATTGACATATTGTGACATTGAAGCTTTATATTTATACTTATATCGCTCAATTACAACAAGACAGTTATACATAAAACTTAAAGCGGTATTTCTCGTAACATTAATTTTTGAGTTATGACGGTCTTGTAGTAATTATGTGATGTTTTTTCTAACTGATTGTATTTTTGATTGTATCTTTGTGTAAAGAAAAGGAGATAACCCGAATTTTTACTTTTATGCGAATCATTGTGATACTTTATTTAACGATTTCTTAGTTTTGTATGATTTTATAAATACAAACGCACAGTGGGTTTTATCGATAAAAAAAAGTTGATTTATTATGATACACTGTATCTAATATAATTTTAAACGACTTAACAAATTTTTCATATTTTTTCATAGCCCAATGAGCGATGTCTGTTTGTCAGACCGTTAAATCAATGCGAAAATCACCCACTCACATTTTATATTAGTCTAAGTAATACATACATTCGTTACCAAAAGCTCATAAAAATATTACGATCTTATAAACTAGAAGCATGACCGACACTTGCTATAAAACTATATTCAACTATGGACCGATTCTTAAGGAATTTACTACAAACTTATTGGTAACATTGAATTTAGACTGGTTTTTGGAAAAGCCTCTTTATCAGGGCTTGTATGGACCAAACTAAAAAGAGTTTAATAGAGAATTTTCTTTCTGTAAAAAAATATTTTTATCGCCAATAACCTTTTCTGGAGGAGGTCTTGGTATGGACCGAACCTTATAAGAAAATGATGAAAGCATTACATATGTATATAACTTTTTAATTTCATCGCTCTACCTTTACCTTAACTTCAATTAGGAACATAAGGGAACCTTGAATGTAGTCTAGGATCGATTTTAACCCTAACATTCAGGGTACGAATTCTCAGTGAATGGGAAAGTTATAAGTGGGCTATACGAAAAACAGATCAATTTCAAAAGTCATATGTGGCCTCAGTTTAAAAACAAGGTTTACATGGACGTATGTAAATATGAGTTGTAGAAGCAAGCATAAACCATTCACAGTATATTTATAGTAATCAGTCCCATTGTGCGAAGTGTGCCAAAAATTTACTTAGGAAATAGCATGGATAAAGTTGGATTAAAATTTCACAGATTTGGCTGCATTAAAGATAATATTCTGTACAAATTGTATTTATTATTATTTGTTACAAAGAAAATAGTTTTACTTAAAAAAACAAACATTTTTGTTTACAATTTCCTTATCAGTTTATAAATAATTACATTGCTCAGTAATAAAATAATTACTAAAAAGTCATTATATGCATAATGACAATGTAATGAAGGGAGTAATGAACATTTATTACTAAACAAAGTTTGTTTACAAAATACTTTTAGTCATGTTTCAACTGCTTCTATTTTCAATCATATGTATGGTAACAACAGTAATGTGTACTCTTTACAACACTCATTCCAAGTATGCATTACATGTAAGTATGGTCGGATCTGGGTGTATGTGTGTCTGTAGTATGTTTGAATGGGAAACAACTTTAAAAGTTTATTTAATTTCCGTTTCCATATGATGAATATGGAAACGTTATTGTGTACGAGATTATGTACTTATAATATTTGTGTATGTAAGTATTTGTGTGGGGGGGGGGGGGGGATATGTGTTGCATATAGTATATTTTATTTGGTTTTTTTGAAATTCGTAACTTAAAGGTCCTGCCTGCTGTGCTTCAGTAACAAAACAATTATTTAAATGTATTAAATAATATTTTAAACATAAATGAAATTTTGCTTTGAGTATTTAAAATTTTTGTTGTTGTTTCGTTTGAGTAAAATAAAAAGAGATAATGAAAATTATAGATACTTAATTAAAGAAAAACAATATTGATGAAAAAATATTCCTAAATTCTGGACCAGCCAAAATTTAAGCTAAAATTTGTTTTGCTGTTTTAAATATTTATACTGGAAATTCTTTGTGATACACAAACATAAATGTAAACTTCTAACATCTGAAATAAATTATAAATAATTTTATGTTATTCAAATTTATAACTAAAATTTGTAAAACGTAACATTTTAAAATTCTATTATTTTCTAATGTGATCTATAATTTTTAATTATAAAACAATTGATCATTTATACTTACTTTTCTTCTTGAGCTTGAGCTTTTGAGTGTTGTTTCATGGTTTCAGGTAAAAATAATACAACAAATCCACCAAATAGGCACCAAGCCGTTAAAAGTGACATTAATAAATGATCTTCAATTTTAGTCTGAAAGAATATACAAAAAAAAAAAGATTTCCCAATTTATAAGCGAAAGAAATAATATTTAAAGCCTCAAAGTTTTGAAACAGTTTAGTAAAGAAAATTAAGTGTGAATTTAGAAAAGGAATGATCTCAGCTTATTTTGTTAAGTCAAAAGAGTAATTTCGTATTAAAATTTAATTTTGTGTGTAAAAGTGAAACTGATTTTTTCAATTAAAATTTGATTGATTTATTTACCAATAACGACAAATATGGCGTTAATATAAGAGCCAAACCAGCTGCAACATTACAAGCTCCCACACCAACATTCCGTATGGCTGTTGGATACAATTCCGCTGTATAAACGGGCATAATGGTATTGCCCGCACTTATTGTAAATTTTCCTGGAATTAGAAAAAAAAAAACATGGAATTTGTTTACGTTTCTGTTATTTGTAGATTTTTCTAGTTAAGAGAGTATTCTCCCATTGTAAATTGTTATAAGTCAGGGATGTAAAGTTTAAAACTAATTTACTCTTTTACTATTAAGTGATTATATAATAAACCTGTTCTAAGTAGTTTATACATCAATACAAGACTATCAATCAGTCAATAGACTAGTTCATAGAATACTAAACACTATGAACAATAGACTAGTCAATAGAGTATTCAATTAAATAGTCAATACTCTAGTCCATCAACTTGTCAATAAACTAGTTCATAAACTATACTAGTTATTCTACTAGTTTATAGAAAAATTTTTACTTTGGTACATCTTAAAATACTGCAGTACCTCCACATAGGCCACAGACAAATTAATAGACTTGTTCATAGACTAGTGAATATAATAGTCAATACTTAGTACTCAAATAGACCAGTCCAATATACAAGTCTATGAATAGTTCATGCTATAGTCTATCATTCACTTTTTAGTATTTTCAAGTCTTTGAAAGAGTATTTTTTTGTAAGTTTTTATTTTACTATCTCGTTGCAAGTATTTATTGGGACAATGTATGAACAGACTTACGTATAACTAGTCATAACAAGTTGTAGGTATACAAGTATGTTTATAAAGATTTACTTACCAATCATGATGAAAGTAATTTTTAACCATAAAATATCCTCTTTTCCCTCTGTAATTGCTGCACAACAGCAGGCAATGCCGGCACAAATTAGAGTGGCACTAAACAGCCATTTCTTACCAACTTTGGATATAATATATATGGCAATTGCAATTGCAGGTATTTCGACAAGACCTGCTAATGCCTTAAAAAAGATCCAACAAAAACAAAGAAGTAACAAGAAAAATCTTTAAATTATCAAAAAACATTTAATAGTATTAGTTAATGTCTATATGTATGTATATGTGTATTGTAAACAAATCAAATAACAACATCTGTACGTCATCATCAATATCTCATCATCGCATTAATTTATTTTAACACATTCTTACTAGAACATGGATATTATTTGCTCTTCATTATAATAAACATTGAATAAACAAACAATCCAACCAACCAATCTAACCGAGAAGCATCAAACCATCAAACCAACAAACGAACTTCTAACAATTTGCAATAACCAAACTATTTATCATTTTTATATCAGCTAACGCCAATGTCCGACGCTTATTAAAACATAATTTTCTAACAAATTTTTGGCATTTTGCCAAACAAATGAAAGAAAAGTTCATGTGTAAACACACTTTATGGGAGGGAAAATAAAATTAAACCAATCTAAACAACTCGAAACGGTAAAAACAAAACCAATTTAACAAAATTCACATGTTGATTGTAAATTAATGAACAGACGAAAAAAAATGTATGTGTTTATATCTTTAAGAATTGTAGGTGTTAGATAAAAGATACACATAAGATGGTTGGTAATGATGATATCATTTAAATCAAAACCAACAACTCAACACAACATATAATTAAATATGTTTATGAGAAAATTCATTTTCTTTTATGAAATGGGAAAGAAAAATTGATTTTCGAGGATTTGTTATACCCTACCTACCCTATAGTGGGGAGGGTATTATACGTTTGTGCTGATGTTTGTAACACACAAAAATATTGGTCCTACACCTTAAAAGTATACCGATCGACTCAGAATCATTGAGTCGATTAAGACATGTCCGTCTGGCTGTCCATGAAAACCTTGTGCGCAAGGTACAGGCCGCAATTTTCAAAATAATTTGATGAAATTTGGACCAAGCATCAGAGATACAAGCCGATGGGAAATGATCGGCGGCGGCGGCGCAACCATTTTGGGTCGGCGGCGGCGGCTTATTACAGAAAATTTCGGCGGCGGCTAAATTGTCGGCTCAATTTAACTTTTTCTTTAGAAATTGACCTTATAAGGTTTATTATATTGAAAAATCTTTGTATAATAGTCTGTTACATAGAAACCTGGCAACTCCGTTCAATTTGGTGAAATTATGTTCTGAAATACATGTGTGATTCTAATCTTTATCAGCGGCTACGTTTAAGCCGGCTTAGCTTTTGAGCCGAAAGAAGTCGGCGGCGGCGCGGCTTGCAAAATATTACCGGCGGCCAGCCGCCGCCGATTTGAGCCGTCTCGGCTTGTATCTCTGCCAAGCATGTTTTTTGGCACAAGGACGAAGCCTATTGTTGAAATCGGTCCATTATTTCACCTAGCCCCCATACAACCGTATCTCCCGATTTGGGCTTTTTATGCCATAATTACGTCAAATATACTATTATCTCTCTAAAAATTGGCCCTTATTTGACCCTAGCCCCCATACAAACCCCCCTTCAAAAAATGTCTTAAACGTCTAAAATTGACTTGTAACCATTTGTATCGCAACGAAACTCAACATAACTAACTATTATTTAAAAATATATCCTTTTTCCAAATTTAATGAGGATCGGCCCATGTTTGACCTATACTCCTATATAAAGCCTCATTTAGAAAATTTGTTTTTTATCAATAAATTGCTTAAATACTTTGGAATTAAGGTAAAATTCAACATAAAAGTGTCTTTGTGAAAAATACAAATTTTTAAAATATACTCATGGTGTAGGGTATTATATGGTCGGCCATGCCCGACTATACTTTCCTACTTGTTATACCCTACACCACTTTAGTGGGGAGGGTATATTGGATTTGTGCTGATGTTTGTAACATACAAAAATATTCGTCCCACCTTAAAGTATACCAATCGGCTTAGAATCGTTTTCTGAGTCGATTAAGCTATGTATGTCCGTCCGTCCGTCTGGCTGGCTGTCCATGTAAACCTTGTGCGCAAGGTACAGGTCGCAATTTTCAAGATAATTGGATGAAATTTGGCACGCACGTTTTGTTTGACCCAGGGACGAAGCCTATTGAAAATGGTTAAAATCGGTCCATTATTTCATCTAGCCTCCATAGAACAGGACACCCCGAAAGGGGCTTCTGAGCTCATAATTATGTTAAATATACAGATATATCGATAAAATACGGCACAACTATGTTTTATAGAAGTCTTGATGACTCTGCCAAATTTCATAAAGATCGGGCCCCATTTGACCCTAGCTCCCATACAAAGTCCCCTTCAGAAAATTACTTGAATGTCCCAAATTAACGTATAAACACAAATATCGCGATGAAATTCAGCACAATAAAATATTATGTAAATATAAATATATTCACAAAATTTTATCGGGCTTGGTCCTTATTTGCCCTTATCACCCATATAAAGCCTCTTTCAGAAAATTAGTTTTTCATCCATAAATTGCTTAAATGTATCGGAACAAGGGAATATTGAAGATAAATGCTTTATTATGAAAAATAAATCACATTTAATATTTAATATTCATAACTGGTGTAGGGTATCATATGGTCGGCCACGCCCGACTATACTTTCTTACTTGTTTTATTCTGCGTTTTGAATAAAACTTGATTTTCGAGTGTGATCGCCTAGTCAAAAATAGATCATTAATTTAAATAAGTCTGTAATTTGTTGTTGTCTGCTTTAAAGAAATCTACTATATATGAAGGCTGATAGTGGAGGAATACGAAAAGCAGCGGCTTCAAGTAATTCCCCGATTTTCTTTTCTAGACCAGAGTTTTATAATATGTATGTAAATGACTTTAATAATTTTATTCAATATCTGTTGCTAGTAATTATATATCAATCTAATGAAATTCTAAGCACTAACTCAATGAATTTCTGATTAATTTCATACAAATTGTTTCACAGCTGTGGTATAATAGCTATAGAGAACAATAATATATGTAGATATGTAGATGTTTTTGAAGAAAAACTAAAAATGAATAATTTCCATACATTAGACAGAGATATTATTAACTTACCGAATTGAGATAGACATTGCCACCGAATGTACTCATGTTCAATATGAAACCATAATAAGCCAAATTCATAGTGAACCAGATGCAAAGAAAACAAATTGTAATACGTCGCAAGTAGGGCGATCTAAAGAGACAGAAAAAATCCTGTGAACTGACTTCTTGGGTGGGGGGCTTCAGCAGCGACTCAAAATTGGGTGGCAATTCACGTTTATTAAAATCAGCTGCTGCTTGTACAATACGTTTCACCTCTTCGACACGGCCCTTGACCAGTAGCCAACGTGGAGATTCGGGTACAACAAACCTAAAATGGCATGGAATAAAATGTTTATAACTGATCCGCCCACTCGTCTAAATATAATAAATACGTTTACTAAAGATTCGATTGTTTATTTTAACCAGACACATTATTCTATATTTTATATTTTCCATACACATATTTTTTGTTTCTGTTTTTGTTCTTGTTGTTGCTTTTTAGACAGCACACTTTTTCATAATAAATAATTTTAATTTTGTTGTTTTTTTTTCACGTTCCATTTTGTTCTTCTAAAGAATTTCAATGCTTTTTATTTTGCTTGTATTTAAATTGTAGTATTTATACACAAATTTATTGTTGTTGTTGATTTTGTATCAGTTAAGGAATACTTACTTTCTTACTTCTGAGAAGTATCTTGTGTGCCAATTTTTTTTTTACAGAAAACAACAACAACAGCATCAAAAGTGGCACAAGTACTCAAAACATTATTACTAGTGACAACAAGAAGAAATTGTATCTTCCTTCTATGGTATAAATTTCATTGAATATTTTTATAGTTACATATTTTAATACTTACCATAAAAAACACAGGAAGATTCCTGGTAATCCGATACACAACTGAAGACGTTGATAGTCCTGTGTTAGATACGCAATGCCGGAAATTAGCATGTACGATATTGGCAGTGGAAAGAGATTATACATGCCGGCGATGGTACGCCATTTTCCATCAACATATTCTATGGCTAAAATGAGGCCAGAATATGTAACCGATACTGATACCAGACCCAAAAGTGCTCTCAAAGTTATGTACATTTCGAAAGATTGAGCAAAATATAGTGCTAGACCTGTGGCGAAACGGAATTTATTACAGATTGATTTAAATTACGGTTATTTTTAGTTTGTTTTTTATATTGTCGACTATATAGTGATCTATAGACCAGACTGAAAAGTTTACAGTGTAAACTAATCAATAGTCCAGACTATTGATTAATCTTTAGTCCAGACTATAGACTAATCTATTGGCCAGACTATAGAATAATCAAAACTTTAGTCCAGACTATAGTCGAATTTAAAATATAGAATAATTTGTAGTCTAGCACGTAGACTGCTCCGTAGTCCAGACTGTAGATGAAATTATAGTCCAGACTGTAGACTAATCTTAAGTCTAAACTTTAGACTAATCTATAATGCAGACTATAGACTAATTTATAGTGAAGACATTAGTCCAGACTACATACTAATATATAATCCACAGCATAGACTAATCTAAGTTCTAAACTATATACTAATCTGTGTAACCTATAATCCAAACTGTAGACTAATATATAGTCCAAATTATAGAATAATTTGTAGCCTAAAATATAGACGAAAATTACAGTTCAGACTACGGACTTTCCTTTAGTCCACTCTATAGACTAATCTTAAGTGCTGACTATAGACTAATCTTTAGACCAGATTATAGATTAATATATATGGTCCAAATATAGACTTGTCCATAGTCTAAACTATAGACGGATATATAGTTCTGACTACAGACTGCTAAATAGTCCCGAATAATTATTGCTCTATAGTCCAGATGTTAGATCCAATTGTAATAATCAGATTTCAAATCTATATGAAACATATTGTCGAATTAACATTTAAATTTGCGAACCGGTTAATGTAAATATGTATATTAAATGTAATGAATCTGAATGTTGTGTTAATTTTTATCAACATTTGCAAAAATCATTATAGAAGGACTAAATCTAGAATCTGAACAATTTCAATCATTGTATTTTAAATTTATACTTGTATCTCAACATTGCATTATTTTGTCTCATTGGATGTTGAATAGATTCTGAAATAAGTTTATTATAGAATGTACGTAACGAATGTATGTATTTGTATGTAAGGAAGTACTTGAACATTACAAATATTGATTTTTATATACAAATGTAAAAATAATACAAATACACATCTACATCTACATACAAACATACATACATTTGTAAGTATGATATGCAGAAATATTAACAATGAATAAAAAATACTTTTTGAATTATTTTCTCAATCAGTCCTTGTACTTGAAAGGTGCTTGGATAAATGAATAAATAAATGACTAACCGTATAGGAAACCAACCACATGTACAAAAATAAAACTACACATTTGTATGTATGTGTGATTTGACATTAAACACAATGTTAATGTAATTAAAACCACTCGACGTAAATGAATGAACGAACGAATGAATAAATGTTCTTTTGTACAGGTAATCAATGACCATAATGAAGGATACAACATCATGCTGTCAAGTTCAAAGGCATATAGAAGGTTAAATGTTTAAGGTATCAAGGTGCATGTGTGTGTCCTTAGGATGTTCACAAAAATTTTGACCATTTTTTCAACAATATTCAAAAATTATTCTTTCAAATATTTGTACTTGCTGGAGTTAAACCCATATTCCAAAAAGGTTCATTTCAAATATACAATTTTTAGTTTGGCAATATTCGTACCTTATTTTTTTGGAGCATGTATATAATATAAAATCTAAAAAACACTTCTGAAAACAATTTTTCTCAACAAAATGATTGAGTTTATTTAATTAAATACCTTCCAACGATGAATAATGGAGTGAGTGAGAGAGTGGTATGTAGAAATGTTGTTGTGTTATACACTTACCAAATATTGTCTGTAATACAGCCGATATGAAAAGCATTGTTTTACGTCCAAATTTATCCGAGAGATAACCCGATATAATACCACCGGTTGCCACACCCAATAGAAAAAACATTTCAGCAACATTTTTCAAATATTCCTTATCGCAGACGAGATCCCATTGTGAGGTCCAACTATTCCCTACATTGTCATTAACTGCATATTCCCATGATGAACACGCAGTACGATTGTTGTTCTCCATGAGAGACTTCAATATGGATTGTTGCTGTAACAATAGATAACGGAATACAAGTATTATATACACATTTAACTATACATACATATGTATGTATGTATGTACTATATAGAAGTAGATTTCAGCACACAAACATACGTCTAAAGTAAATTTTTGTTATTACAATTTTTGTGTTATTTTTTTCTTCTATTTTTCCTAAATGGGATTTTTCACATGACTGGTAAATGTCGGATGAGAATGATTTACTTGACTACACTACAATGATGATGATGATGATGATGTTGATGATGATTAGAAGTACTTAGTACTCTTACTATACAATAATACATTCTTTAGCATTGTATAAAATTGTACAATGAGATTGTCCGTTGGTTTGAATGAAGGAACTCACCTGATGCATTTGCTCATTGGTATCATTGCTAATAATGCTCCAGTCGACTGGAGTTTGGTAACAGTTATCGTTGGAATTGCTTAGATTACGCCACACATCGACGGGTAAATGTTGCAAATGCGCTGGACGTCTACACCAAAATTCTTTGTTGGCTGCCTAAAATGGAGAGTTACATAGTAAGACAGCCGTAGGGCTCTAATCAAACATCAAAATCGTAAGGTTTTAAAATATTTCCAACCCACTTGATATACTGAGGATGATATGTGAAATGTATTGGGTACTTGAAATAATGACAATAGAACTGTCATTAATAACTGCCATTTACCAAAGTGACCCACTAAGTCGCCGATGATATCAGTCTCTTCGCCATCGTCTTCGTCTGCATCACCATTACTATTGTCGCCACCACCACCATTACTATGGCCACTACTCTTTGAAGTTCGTATGTAAGGGTCAACTGGTTTACCACCATTTGAATCCTTAGATCCGCTGTTTCTGTGTTGAGCTATGGCAGTGTTACTGTTGCTGTTACTTGCGGTATCTTTGTGAGCATCTATTGTTGTGTCTGTTGCTGTTGCAGTGTCTGTCGTCGCTGGTTCTGTTTTCGCTATCGATGAGACCAATTCATTATTATTCGGTGGCATAGTTGTCTGTTGATCATTGGCTGGTTTACAATCATCATCGTCATGCTCTAATGAGGACGGTTTACTTGTGAGCATCTTCCAGGTATATGCTGTAATGGAAAATTGTTAAGAGTTACATTGAAGATAATAAACTTTAATATGGTACTGCTATATTTTGCAGTACAACTGTAAACATAAAGTTTAATACAATTTTATTTGCACACATATTAGTTGGATTTAAGTTTCATTTAATACTTGAGATTTTTCTATTTCTTTTGAAACAATTTTGTGTTCTTTTTTCTTTCTACTTCTAAATTTTGCAAAGCTTTCTTTCTGTTTGTACTCAGTTTGTTTGTGTGTTTGTACTTTGTATGTGCTGTACCATGCTGTTCTTTGTGTTAGAATTAAATGCTTTCAAATTAATCAAATTCCAAATGTCAATAACACATACAAACAATTAGTGTGTGGGTATGTGAGTATTGGCAGTACCTTCACATGTATATGGATGTATAAACGGTTGGATGGATGGGGTTTAAAGGAGTTATTTATTAAAACCATTCGTGCATTGGGGCCGATAACAAACAACCATTATAGCACAACACATTAAATACAGAGGAATTTCACCTGGAATTATTTAAGTGTAAATATCGAATAAAAACACAATGTTGCACGTTTAGTTAATCTCAAAAGACATTCAGTACAAACAACAAACGGAATACAAAAGAAGAACTATTCAAAAGCAAGGATTATGTTTAGAGAGAGAAAAATAAAGTTTAAGTTCTAGACATTCAATCATGTAATCCATACGGAATCATTCTTATTGAACTTAAATACAAAACATACAAGGGCAGACTGAAAATTTCTTTCAACACAATAAAACAATAGACATCTTGTTTATTAAATATGAAAAATTTAATTGAGAAAAGGACTTGTGATCACTGGTCAGTCATAACTGAATAAAAGGATCTCGATCTGTGATCACTAATATTTCTGACCAAAAATTTAATTTTATATGGAAAATTCTAAATATCTGAATTGTTCTAAAACTTGGTAAATAAGTGTTTAATTAAGAAAAGAAATCATGAGTCAACTTTGTTAACATGTTCAACAAATCTGGGGCGTTAAAAGTCTAGCTTTCTGTATTATTTTATATGATATTTTTACTTAAGTAAATAATTAAGTGCTTTTCAGATTACCCTCAATCTTGTATCAAATTCAATCTTAAATATATTGTACAATAATACGTATTATTTTATGTGTGTCATTGTGTGTATTAACAATTACAAATACATATATAAAGGATAAATATTTACTACTTAACCTTAACTTTTTTTTTTTGGAAACATGCTAAGTTTCGTTTTTAATTTAAATAATTGTTGAATTTCTTAATAAATTTTGGTGAAATTCTTTATGTAAAATATGTATTTAAAAGTTAATAAGAATTATAACTTTATTCTTTTATTTAATTATAATAATTAAACAAAATAATTTTATTAAATGATCAAAAAAGAAATGGACTTAGCATGTTTGACATTATGTTAAACATTGTAAATAGTATGTATTAGTAGTTAAATTTTATTTGTTTCGTTGTTGTTTATTTTTATTTTACGCTTCATTTTCTTTACACTCGTTTGTTCATTCAGTCATTCATTCATTCACTGATTCTATTTGTTTTGATTTGTTTCTAAACAAAGTCAATCACATTAAATCGGATTAAATCCACATACACTTTGTAACAACAAACATTTTAGTGTTTCCTCTTGTCTCATTCTCTCTTCCGCTCTCTCAGTTTGGGGGGGGGGGAGTGCGTGTTTGCCTGAGTTTGCGAATGTTTAAAAGTATGCGGTGTCTGTGTGTTTGCGTGTATAAAATAACAATTTAACAAACACGTGACCAATGATTTTATACACAATGCATTTTTTGTTGTCTTGTTTAGGATTTTTTGTGGGTAAAACAGTAAAGAAGCGCCGATCTCATAGTATCATATGGTGGGGGAAATGTAAATGTTTGTTCATTTTCTTTATCTTGAGAATGGAAAATTTCTTTGTTTTTCCCACTTAGAAGTTTGTTGTTTTTGTATAAGTATGTTTAAATCTTGCAGACAAAGTTTCGTTTAAAAAAAAAACTAAGATTTTCTTAAGCTCTTAAGAGTTGTAATCATTGTGCTTAAATTGTGTATTTGAATGTTCAAATGTATCTTATATTGTATCTTATATTTGGCTTAAATTTTCTTATGTATAAAATCCTTTAAAAAACAAATAATGTAAATACATATTGAACTTGTGTACAGGATTGGCTAACGCTTTCAAACGATTAAAAAGACAACAAATTGAAAAATTGAAACATTTCAAATTAGCATAGTAAACGTTATGATGTTATAATGAACTTTTCAGAATATTTACGCCACAGACAAGTAAAATTTTTAAACGCTTACAATTCACCCTAAAGGAAAGTCGAATTTTAATCTGTTTAAAATTGTATTGTTATTCATGATTTTAGCATATTTAAGTTTTTATATGAATTTTATAGATAAAATATTACATATTTTCTAATACAATACATACAAATGTATTCATTTAATTTTACATTAAATCCATTATAAAACGAAATAATAAAAAATAAGATCTTTATAACTATAAATCATAGCCGTATGATCGATTACTGTCCAATAAATATTGTTCATATTTAATATTATAAAATCTCTATAAACTGTATGAAAACGTAAAATTAATGCCATACTTTTTCTTTACATTAATTTGCAGGCAAATATACATACATACATACATATTATAAAAGTTTTGCTCAACGTCCGTTTTCATAATAAAAAAAAATTAAAATAGTTTTTTTTTTTACTTGTGCAAAATCTGGATAATTAATTATAATATTAATGGCACCAGTAACAGCACGTCATACACAGACAGGCTGTGGGTAAACGGACACACAAATGCAGTCAGTTAAACAGGAAGTATGATTTAGTGCGTAAATAAAGGAAACATGTTGCACAAACACACTCACATGCATACAAAAAAAGACTTGTGTTTATGTATGTACAGTGGCGGCCATGAGGTTAGCACATTTGGTATCTGTTAAATATAAAATCAAATATTTCCTATAGTTCTTAACTTTTTTAACAAATTCTTTTTTATGCGTAACACATGTCCTTCGAGGATCACGACACATTACATTTTGTTCCACTACTTTGTTGCATATAGATTTTTTTCTTTCCAAAGTACATCTACCCCCAAAAAAATCTGGACATAAGTTTAGCACAAAATAAAAAAAATCATTAAAAAATTAAAAATAAAGCAAAGAAACCGGATAAATTTATGTAATTGCACTTAAAATTTTATATTTTGTAGAATAGTTGCACATTTTGATAACATAATTTCTTCTCCTGGACATAATCTTCACCAGTACACACTAGAAATTTCATGACATAAATTTTAACTTTCAGCCCATAAATAGGCAAAATTCTTAGGAATTTGTGTTTTATTTGTTGCACCATTTCGTTTAATATGTTCCCTATTGGATTGGGATCTAGAAATTATTCTGGGCGCTGCAAACATGTCAATCTCGCTCGCTTCCAAGAAGCTCCTCTCTGTACTTTTAACATATTTTGGGTCATTGTCGACCAAAAAACGCCATTTAACTGAACTTTTGTCCACTAATTTTTTTACTAAAATATTTAACAGTCTATTTTGATAGTCATACTGATCCATTTGTGCATCCACCTTGCGTATAAAACCTCCACTACGCCCGGAAAACGCCTCCGAATTCGTCATATTTCACCCATTGTGTTTTATGGTTTTAAATGTACACTTTGGTTGTTGCAGCATGTTTGGAGTACAGCATAATTACATTTTTCCATCAAATTTGATTCTATTAATCTTCAACTAGTATCCTCCAATCATGCAGATAAAGCTAAAGTGTTCCAGAGAAATCATATATCACAATAGGGGGAAATTTCATGGTATTCATTGCATTTTCTTGTCGTGCTGTTGGTCCTATATTGATGTTGGATGCAGAAATGGATCCGTATGACTATCAAAATAGGATCTTAAATACTTTATTAAAAAAAATCGGAAGACAAAGATGGCGTTTTTTGGTCGACATCGACCGTAAATATGCTAAAAGTGCTGAGATGAGCTGCTTGGAAGCGAGCGGGATTGTCATGTTTGCAGTGCCCAGTATATTTTCTCGATTCCAATTCAATAGAGAACATATAACATGATATGGACCAACAAATAAAAGCAGAAATCACCAAGAATTTTGCCAATTTATGGGCTGAAAGTTAATATTTATGTCATGAAATTTCTAGAGGGTTCTGGTGAAGATTATGTCCAGGAGGAGAAATGATATTATCAAAATCTGCAACTATTCCACAAAATATAAAATTTTAAGTGCAATAAGATAAATATAGCCGGTTGTTTTGTTTTATTTTTAATTTTTTAATGATTTTTTAATTTTGTGCTAAATTTATGTCCATATTTTTTTGGGGGTAGATGTACTTTGGAAAGAAAAAAATCTATATGCAACAAAGTAGTGGAACAAAATGTAATGTGTCGTGATCATCGAAGGACATGTGTTACGCATAAAAAATAATTTGTTAAAAAAGTTAAGAACTATAGGAAATATTTTATGTTATAGGCAACATATACCAAGTGTGCTAAAATCGTAGCCACCACTGTATGTGCGGATGGCAAGGAATAGTTACGCAGATTGTGAACATAATGTGTGGTCTGTCAGAATATAAACTACTTGCCATGGTCATATGGCGACCATCATTGAAGGTCGGTTAAATTACATTGGTATGTACATTTACTACTACATACATATTTACAAAGTTACATTTTAACATAGACATTTGTACACACATACATATGTATGTATGTATATGTAGTTATGCAGCTGTTTTATACATAAAGTTTAGTTTAGCTAAACTTTTTCATTTTAAACAATTTATTTATATTCTATGAGTTTAAAAAAGTTAAAAGTTATAAATTGTTAAACATTTGTATGTTTATAGTTTGAAGTGTAATTTAAAAATGTTTTTAATATATTGCAATTGTTGTAAGGCCATGATTCCAAAGAAGTTTAAATTTTTTCAACGCAGGAATATTTTAGATATTAGTCTTTTATAAAAAATATCAATAGGTTTTTACCTGATTTTTTATAGCAAAATTTAAAATTTTTGTTCGAAAAAAAGCAGATGGGTTATTCGGGGCAAAGGTAAATAAATCTGAAGGGACTTTTGGTGCTAGGGTTAAATGAGGTCAAATCCATACTAAAATTGGAAGCAACATTCAGACTTACAAAAATAAAAGTTGTGCCGATTTATATAGAGATTCTAGAACATTTTAAATAATAATGAGCTCAAGATCTGGGGGTTAGGTGAAATAATATACCGATTTCAAACATTTTCAATAGGCTTCGTTTTTGGGCCAAGAAAAAAGCATGTGCAAAATTTCATCATATTCTCTTCAAAATTATGACCTGTAGCGTCCGCACAAGGTTTACATGGACACAGACGGACGGACATACACGAATGTCGAGTGCTTAACATGAACAACTGCCTTGACGGCCTTATTTCACAGTGGTCTTTTTCATCCACTAGTTAGACTACAGACGGTCTACCATGGTCCCTGAATCCTTCTATGAAGAACTCAGGTGGCAATTTTTGTACATGGCTGAGCCGGTCCATGTACAAGCACATTGCTGAAGAACTCGAGCTATCTAATCTCTTGCCATAGTAGCCCGTTGTGGAATGACAGGCAGCATGGGATCAATACCAATGCAAACCTTGACAAGGAAAAAGCAATCACTGGTCTAAAGTCAATTGAAGGGGCGACAAACCCCAATATCAGGTGAAATCAATCTTCCGGTGTATCGGAAGGTTGCCACCCTTATGATGTCATACAAGATTGCATTGTTTAAAATGCAATCTATATCAACTAATAACCCATTTCAGTGCATTCTTTAACCTCTTAAAGTCCGTGCAACCACACTACTGAGATGACTCTGTTGATGCGGCAACTGCACCTAGAGACGTATTTGGTAGTCTGAAGTCTTGGAGAACACCAAGGTAACATGCACCCGGGGAGAGGACGGACAGACAGACGGAGCTTAATCGACTCAGAAAGTAATTCTGAGCCGATTGGTATACTTTAAGGTGTAGGTTTTTATTTTGTTTTTATAGCACTATAGTGGTGTAGGGTATAAAAAGTCTAGTTCACGAAAATCCTTAAATTAGTTTGAAGGTTGTTGTGTTTTATTAAAAATGCAATGAAACATTCCACAACATTAAAATCTATTATAATGGTAGTGTCAATTATGGTTTCCAATTGAAGTTTCAAAATCGTGTTAAAGTGAAATATATACTACAAATGAATCTATGTACTTGTAACGTAAAATGTCACATGCTGTTGAAAAATATTTCAACGTAAAATAATTTTTTAATGTTTGGTTTTACCCTACACTTACAACTATAATGCAGACACACAAAAACATTGTTGTAAGAACGATTTTCCAAAAATAAAAATAGACTGTACATATTTTCTCCAGCCCAGGAATATAAAATGTTTAAACAAAATGGCTAAAAACGTTTTGCAATTGTAAAATACTAAGGAAACGTTAAACCCTTTTAACGCTTTTTTAAATTATTAAATATCTTGCAAACGTAAAACGTATACCGCATCCTATAGTTTGTTTCGACTGGCAACCAACTGAAATTGTTCTACTTAGTTTTTGTGTTTTTTTTTTTGTTTAATTGAGTCACGAATATTCAGTCATTGTACATTCCAGCACGGTTTAGTGTCATTTAATTTATTAATTTGTTTGTACAGAACATGTTACAGAGTTAACAATGTAAAACTATTAATAGCACATAAAAGACAAATACCGAATGGTAATGCAAATCTAACAACTATTGGTCGCCATTAGAAATACTTTGTATTGGAAATAAACAATAAACAATAAAGTGGTAGGAAAGAAAATCCACACCTTTTGTAGTTTATTAAGAATGCGAAATAATTTAGAATTTTCTCATAAAATATGAAAACATTTCATTCACCACTAATTAATCGCTATAAATAAATGTGTATTAAGTTGTTTTAACTGAATAAATATTATACTTTCATTTCTCTGCAAACCCTGTCAATATTCCAGAACCCATTAGTTTTCTTTAAATATTTGAACAATTTAATTGATTTTGTTTAAATGTTCAGTATTTGTACAATTTTGTAAAGAGGTGTATAAATAAAATCAGTTTATTTATTTATTTCCAATGTTGTTTCTATTTTTCATTTATTTAGTTTATTCCATCAATTAGTTAGTTTTTTTTTTTGTTTTGAGTGTTTGGAATTTAATTTGGCGTTAATTCAAATTGACCATAAATTAAACGATTAATACGAATTGGGTACATGGATGAATTGTTATAAATATTTACATAAATAAAGCCAAAATACCAATTGAAACAATAAAATTATTGAAATATTATAACAATTGTAATACAACGATAGACGATAATTATTTATTTTTGCGTCGTCTACTTTGAAATTGAAACATTTTCACAATTAAATTAACGGTAATTTAGAATGTTACATTAAAACTACTAAGTATTTAAGTATAAACATATAAAATATACAAATTTACTATTTGTTAAAATTTAAAAATTATGAAATTTATTTCAATAGCAATTTAACGTTAAAAATTTAAAATAAATTTCAATTTGATTTTATAAAGAAAAACTTTACATTATTATTTAAACAATTTAACTTAGAAAACTCTATTCTATTTTTTATATTTTTGAGTCTTATTGTCTGTTCGTCTGTCTGTCTGTCTGTCTATCTGTCTGCAGTTGTAGGCGTTACAATTAATATGTTCTACATTTTCATACAAGTACCAACTGTATCTACGTAAATATTTCAATAAAATGTTTGTTTGTGTTAGTATTTTGATTGTTAATGTTTCTGTGCAAATCTCTACGCAATTTGAAATAAAAAAATGGAACATTTTCAAAGAATCTGGCATTTTAAGTTGATTTTAGTTCTAAAAACAATTTAAAATCAATTTAATATTTTCTATTGATCGCTTGATCTATTCAATAGTTAAAAATAGAATATTTTAATCTGAACTACTATCAATTGAATTTAATAGTCAATGGCTGATCTCGACCATATAATGCCGTAAAATTAAACTATCACTGCAAAAGCAGCACATTTTTATTGATATTGGAAATTAGCGTATTTTGAAGACACCACTGAGGATCTTTCATTAGGAATTGTAAGCTATTGCTCTTCTTTTGTTTAAGCTCCTATACCGGTTGTTTTTTAAGCCTGATAAAACATACGAAAAGGTTTAACTGTCAAACGAATGAACGGACATTTATGATCGATATACTCTGGCGTCGATTGGCTCGATGTTTTATGGCAAAATTGTATTAATGATGAGGCTCATTTTTGAGAAAAATCTACATCAGACACAACAGTCTCCATTCCATCCATTTCGTGGCATCACCGTCATTGATTGACTCGATGTTTTATGGCAAGATTGTGTCACTGATGAGGCTATTTCTTTACACATATCCACATCAGAACCCACCGTCTCTATTACATGCATCTCATGCCATCATCGGTCCTTAGTTATTCAAAAATAAAGCCGGTGATCGCATTCCAACGGGAATTGCATGACTATTTGGCATAAGGCGACCGCAACCTTTAATTTATTGAAATCAAATTTTGGCGATAACTTAGTTTCGTCTAATGGAATAGACAATTGATCTTCAAGGTATTTTGATAATTTTCTATGGGGCCACCTAAAGTCCATAGTTATTTTTCTTTCGGGGCCAAAATTATTTCTGCAGGAAAAAATTTCCAAATTTGGATGTCCGGAATGTGCCTTGTTAAGAACGAGCCATATGGCCGAAATCTTATGGTAATTTTTACAATCTCAAGTTCTATGGCGCTTAAAAAAACACCCATTATATTCAATGATAGAAAATTACGTTATGGAGAGTTTGTGATTAATTTTCCCTGTAGTAGGTCTACATCAATGTTCAAGCCTAAAAATTGGGCTACTTTAAATGGATGCGCCCATGAAAACATTGGACACGGTGAAGTAGGGTTGGCTGAGCAGTTGAATATGAGGTGGGTGTCATGAGGACCCTGACCGCATGCAGGATATTCATTGGGGACGGCACGGTCTATACGTTGCTCTCTCCCGATCTTAGTTGTGCCAGAACTACTCTTGTATTCCGCGGCAGGTTATCTTACGTGTCTGCTGTGGACGGTGGGCGACCTCTAAGTACGACATTCATGCGGTATCCTGCGACCGCGGCATTTATGGCGTCTCTATGAATGTCATTCAAAGCTGCCGTATACGAGGACTGATGCAGTAGATTCTGCACATATCTGCATATGTTTTCCTCGTATATACGAAGATCCTTCCCCCCGGGGGGCATGTTACCTTGGCGAGACCTCCGCCTTGGTGTTATTGCAATCCCGGGGTATAAAGAGGTGGCCAATACCTCCAGTCTGGTCGGGACTGAAAAATTGGTTACAGTCTACTGCCTGGCTTAGTCCTTGCATAGATTGCCAGAGGTCCGACCAGAGCACCGCATAATCTGGTACTACGTGTGGCCAGTCGCCCTCAGGACTATGTCCTGGCTGGTCAGTTGGTTGAGGTTCCTTCGGGATCCACGTAGTGGCTGTGGTATAAACCCAAATTCGCGGGGAGAATAAGTGGCGGTTAAAAGACTGATGCATGATAATAGTCAATATTTCGGGATAAGTTCGGTGCTGTTGCCGAAAAC